CTTTATAAATGAACAATGGATTTTAAATGAGGAGTAACATGAAGTAACACAGTTCCAGCTGTGAAATATTTTTATGCATCTCGGATCCCTAACCCTCAACTGCCTTTTCCTCTGCAGGGCAGTGACAGGCTTGTAGAGCAGATGCCCCTCGACATGGACACCACTCTGAATGGGCTCACCCTACCCTCCTGCCTAGACGTGGAGCAGGGTTTACAGGACACCTTAGCTTCTGCGTGCAAACGGAAGTTTAATGACTAAAAGCAGGAAAGCTGGGGGAGCCGTGGGGGAGAGATGCCATGAAGTCTTGCTAAAAAGCCTCCAACAGTACAACACAAGTGGGAAGCAGCAGTAGCAGACAGGGCACATGTCGATGGAGCGACCAAGAGAAGTCCGGTCATCAGAGAAAAAGCAGTAAGCACTCACTCTTCTGGTGAGTATGCAGAGCGCTGACTGCATCCCAGTCCCCGCTCTGGACACAGGGATAGACAGCATGCAGAGCAGCCAAAGTCCCTGCGCTCAGGGAATTTACATTCTATGGGGGGAGACACACACACACATCAAGCGATAAGTGCTACCAGAAAAAACAAAGCAGGGTAATAAGGATACAGAATGTGGGGTGGCGGTTGAGGGAGGGACACTACTTTTCTATAAGGTGCTCACGATTAGCTTCTCTGAAAGGTGATATTTGAGCAGAGATCTGAAGGAAGAGGCGTGAGCCGCAAGGACATCTATTCCTGCTCCACGAAGGCAAGAACTATATCTTCGGGATTCTGACCTACTCCCTTTTTCCTCTTTTGAGAGACAGTACAGCACAGTGGTTAAGAGCACAGATCGAGCTGAGCTGTGTTTGAATCTTGGCTCTGCTACTTTCTTGCTGTGTTACTTTAAGCTCTCTGTGCTGATTAATTTGTAAAATGGGGATTAAATGAGTTAATCTATGTAAAAGCACTTAGAGAACAATGCACAGAGCACATGGCTAATTTTTATATCATGCTTACTGTATTACTATAATCAATCAAAAAACTATAAGGTGAGGCCAGCCTAGTGGCGCAGCAGTTAAGTTCAGGCACTCTGCTTCAGCAGCCCGGGCTTTGCCGGTTCAGATCCTGGGCGAGGACCTATGAACCGCTTGTCAAGCCATGCTGTGGTAGGCATCCCACATATAAAACAGAGGAAGACGGGTATGGATGTTAGCTCAGGGCCAGTCTTCTTCAGCAAAAAAAGAGGAGGATTAGCAGCAGATACTAGCTCAGGGCGAAACTTCCTGAAGAAAAAAAAAAACCACCATAAGGTTAAGAACACAGATTTTACAGGCAAGTGAATTTCATTAAGTTAGAATCCTGCTGTAACTGGGTACGTCCATTCATTCATTCAACAAATACTCACTGAATGCTTCCACAGCACTCTTCTAGGAGCTGGGGTTACCCGAGGGAAAAGAGAGACACAGCCTCTGCTCTCAGGGAGCTGACCCTCTAGTGGGAGGAGACACACAATAAACAAGTCCATAAAATGAGAACTGTACTCAGGTAGTGGCTATAAAGAAAACAAACAAGGTGATGGCAAGGTGGGGGAGCAACTTCAGCAGGGCTGTGAGGGGGGCTTCTCTGAGGTCACACCTGAAAAGGACCAGCCAGGAGAGAGCAGGCCAAAGCTCCAAGCTGGGAAGAAGCAGGAGGTAAAAAAGCCCTGAGGGAGAACATTTAGAATATTCAAGGAAGACGGGGGCACGGGAAGAGGGGTATGAAAACACATGAGAGAAGTCAAGCAGAGGTTCCAAGTGGAAGGGGAATGCAAGCCTGAAGAAAGAGAAACGGTGCTTCTCTGTGCGGCTTCTAACCAAAGCTAACCAAACACACATTAACAAATGCAAAGCTGCACGGTGACAGCCACCACTAAGAAGTTAGAGTGGTATGAAAAGATTTAATAAGAGGGTGTAACCGTTGTCAAGGAGGACAGAACATAGCTCTCTGAAAAAGCTTATAGAGGAATCTAAAGGAGTAAGTAGAAGTTAACTGGAAGTGAGGAGAAGGAAGAGCCCTCCAGGTAGAGAGAACAGCATGTGCAAAGGCCCTATAACAAAGAAAGCCTGGTGAGTGCAAGGAATAAAAAAGTCTGATTTAGCTCAAAGGGATGGAAGGCGAGGAAGAGAGGTACAAAATGAAGCTGGAGAGGTGGGGAGTGGCCAGACCACACAGGGTCTTGTAGCTACTGAGGTGTTTTAAGCAGCAGGAGACGCATACATTCTGCAAGGACCACTCTGGCTGCGTGTGGGTTGAGGGGAGGAGGTGATGCCTTAACAGGAGGCTGAGTGATTAGTACAGAAGAGATGGTAACAGCCTGGGCTAGGGTGATGGTGAGAAGCAGGCAGAACTGAGAGACATTTAGGAGGTAAAAGTTACAAGATTTAGTAAAGACTTAAATATGGGAAGTGAAAGAGAGGCAAGTGCTGAAGACACCCTCTAGGTCTCAGCTGAATGCACAGCGGAGATACTCATTAAGACAGGAGCCACTGGAAGGACCTCTGTCCTGGGGCTGGACCAGGAGGGAGATCTAGAACCCAGGAAGTCTGAGGGGCCTCTGAGGCATCCAGGAGGAGATGTGAAACAGGCAAGAGATATCACGTCTAGGAGCTCAGAGGAAAGATCTGGGCTGAGGACAGCCTCAGTTTCCCACGTATAAAATCAGACTCCTAAGAGGACTTAGCTCAACTGAAATGAGGATTAAATGAGCAAATGTATGTAAAATGCTTTGCACAGCATCTGGTTCACAGTAAGTACTCAAGTAATGGTAGCTTTTATCATTGATAACGTTATACGGGCTACTGGCTTATTAGGTAGCCCCCTTGACTAAACTTGGCAAAGAAACATGTTGCTATTTCTGGTATTAAATTGAAATCACTTTCCCTTTTCAAGACTTTGCTCCAGTTTCATTAATAAAGCCTCTTACTCTGCATTAAATTCCATGTAAGTATTTACGTGTACCTGATTTGTGGTACTCTGTGACAGACCAGGTAAGGTGATCCTTGCTTTCAATGAGCTGGGGTCAAGCTCAGCAAGACACCAGCACACAAACATGCAGGCCCACACACACAAACATGCACGCCCACACACACACACAAACACGTACATCCACATACACAAATACATGTCCACACACACAAACATGTATGTCCACACACACAAACATGCACGCCCACACCCTCCCAACTACCAGAGATGTTACAAAGCAGTATCAGTGATGACTTCCACAGTTTCAGAGTGCAACTGGAATTTGAACCCTAGTATGAGTCCTAAGCCTCCACGAAGAACCACACTAAGTCCTCAATTAACGCCCAATGGTGAGAGCAAACATTCCAAATGACAGGTATAAGAAAGCCACTTAAAACACCTTTCCCTTCAACAGAATGACTACAGCAACCAAAATAAAGCTCTGGCGGCGGTGACTTCTGAGAGGTGACCAAACGTCTTCATGATCAAGACAGCAAGGATTTCCAGACAAGCGCCCTGTGCTGAGCAGGCCCACCCTCGTGCGGGAGCCTCCAAACAAGAAACGACCAAACTCACGGACGCTCTCCAGCTGCGCCCCGTCCCATACAGTAGCCACCAGCCACACGAGACTGCTGAAACTTAAATTAACGAAGACCAAGCGAAACTTACAATTCAGGTCCTCAGTCACCCTAGGCTCACCTGGAGCTCCACAGCGCACGGGCCTCGTGGCTACCGTACTGGACACTGCAAAAGAGCACAGCTCGATCCCCGGAAAGGTCCACCGGAACTCAGCGCTGGCCTAGAGCAAATTTAAAACACCAACGCCTTCCATTCAACTTTTCACCAACTTGAACAACTTCAGCTGTTGGTTCAAGTTTACGACACATGAAGAGTGTCTGACCCCACAAAGAACACGGACTCGGCTGTCTTCAGCCCTCACTGTAAAAGTGTCGACGGGCCTCTCGCACAGACGGATTGAACATGGACCCTCTTGCTTGTGTTACACTAAAACTCTCACAAACGACACCTATCCGTAAACGGGAGAGTGAGCGTGGATGGGGACCTTCCTGTCATTAACCAAGACAGCCGCCTTTTTTGTTTACCTTCGACAACACTGCAAATCACAAAATTACGCGCTCTGCCCTGAAGCTGTGAGATGAGTGCTTCCACTTGCTAAACCCAGGTGAGCATCCGCGTCCGAGACGCAGAGGGAGTGACAGGGTGGGTGTCAGGGAGGGGACAGGGCATGCACGCGGCAGGGTCGCCCCCGCGCCGCCAGGGACCCCCGAGCGTCTGCAGACGCGCGCGCAGGCGGGAGGCGCGGGCTGGGGGCTGCCTGCGCGCTCGCGTGCCCGTCGGACCCTCCCGCAAAGGTCCGTGGCCACCTGTGGTCCCCGGGGAAGGGGCCAGCCCTTTGACACGGAAACGCTTCCCGGCTGGACACCCAGAGGAGGGAGGGGAGCAGGCGCGGCTCCCGGGTGCCTGAGGGCAGCGCCCGGGACGGGACCGCCGGGGGCCGTGGCCCGAGGGGGGCGCCCGGCCGGCGGCTTACGTAAGCCGGGCGCCTCCGCGCCGGCAGCCCCGGGCCGCGGCCGCTCTGCCCCCGCCTCGGCCTGCCCGGCGCGGGCCAGGGGCGCGGCGCCGCCTCCGCCGGCACGGGCTGCGCCCCGGCTTTCGGCTTCCGGCCCCGGCGCTCCCGCAGCCCAGAAAGCAGCGCACCGACACCATAACAAAGGCGGCGACGCGGCGGCAGCCCCGGGGTGCGAGGACCCGGGGCCGCGGGGGCGCTGCCAGTCGGCCCCCGTGCCCGGCGCGGGGTTCGGCCACCCGGCCCGACCGCAGCAGCGCGGGGGCGGGCGGCCGGGGGCGGCGGGGGGGTGCTCCGAACGGCTACTCACTCTCGTCAGGCAACTGGTCGAGCTCCGCCATCTTGAACGAGCCGCGCCGCTTTTTCAAAGGCTGCCCGCCGCGGTGCATTGTGGGGCGGAGACTGTCTTTGCGAGGGAGGTTCGAATGCGGAGCTCGCGGCCCGGCGCGGCGCGGCCGGCGGAGGCGGGCCCGGCGCGGCGCCGCCCGGGGAGGGGGCCCCGCGGGTGCCGCGCCCCTCCGCCCCGGCCCCGGGCCCGGCCCGAGGGCGGGCGGGGAGGGAGGCCGCGCCGAGAGGCCCGGCGGCGGAGCGCGGGGGGGCAGCGCGGGCTCCGCGGCCCGGCGGCCCGGCTCCCGGCGCGCGTCTCGCGGCCCGCGCTGCAGCTGCGGGCGCTGCAGGCTGTTCGTTCCGAGGGGCAGAGGGAGGCCGGCGGGACTGGGAGGCGGCACCTGTGGGCCCGGCGCGGGAGGAAGCCCTGGTGCGCGGTCACGTTACCCGAGGGGGCTCAGCTCCAAGTCGGTTTCTCAGGGCTGCGAAGCCCACGCTGCTCCGGCGAGGCGTCCCCTCCCTCCTCGGAGGGCTGGCCCAGGGAGCCCCGCAGCTCGTCCCGCCATCGCTCGGCGCTCGCCCGCCGCGGAGCCCGCGCCTCCCGGACGTCAGGACCGGGGCTGCGTGGAGCTGGGCGGAGGGACCTTGAGAGGTCGCGAAGTTAGTCGTTTAGGGCCGCATCTCAGCTGTTCGGCTCAGCTCTTTCATCCCTTCGACCCGAGACCGTGTAGGGAGCTGGGAGAGAATTACAGAACCAGTCGCTGGGGGACACAGACAGAAATCGACAGTGACACCACGAGATGATCGAGTACCCCGATCGAAGTGTTAGGAGACTCTGGATGAGGATTCATCCGGTTTTGAAAGAAGTCCGGGGAAAGATTTCACAACTCCTGTCTCTAACACTCTGCAGTTATAAACCACTGTTGCTTTTCAATAATTCACTTAACAAATGTTCCTGAGCTCCAGTCCTTTCTTTCCAGGAATTTATGGAGGGTGGGGAGGGGGGTAATTAAGCAATGAAAATACAACATGGGTGAATTCCAGGAACTGAAAAGTAAAGAGATGGTAGACCCAGATGAGGACAGAGCAGGACACAGAGGCCAAGCTAAGCAGGTGGGCTTGCTAAGAGCCTGGGAGGATGGAGTTGGGTTCTACCTAATGGGGATGGCATGTTTCCGTTTGTTGGAGAACAAAAATGTGGGAAATGGATCAGAGTGTGACAAGATGGCAGTCCTGGGAATGAGGAGGAAGCTTGTTGGGCAGTCAGGCAGGCAAAGGCCAGGAGAGAGGGTCTAGTTGCCACCCTAGAGCTTCAGGGGGTGGGCTCTGGAGCCCCAAGGCCTGGGTGGGATTCTGCTTACTGGTTGTATAACCTCAGGAAAGTTTATTTCTTTTTAAAATTTTATTATTATTATTTTTGGAGGAAGATTAGCCCTGAGAGCTAACATCTGCTGCCAATCCTCTTTTTGCTGAGGAAGACTGGCCCTCAGCTAACATCCGTGTCCATCTTTGTCTACTTTATATGTGGGATGCCTGCAACAGCATGGTTTGACACATGGTGAGTAGGTCTGCATCTGGGATGCGGACCCTGGTTGCCAAAGCGGAACCTGTGAACTTAATCACTGTGCCACCAGGCTGGCCCAGCAAGTTCATTTCTTAATTCTCTGTGCCTCAGTTTCTCATATCATTGGTGATACCAACTTTATGCCTCGGATAATTAGGTGCTGCCACTTTTGAGGTAGGAGGGGGAGCAGGGTTTGAGCAGAGAGGGTAAAAAATTCAATTTTACAAAGTCATCCCTCCTTCGTAGCTAACTTAACCCCTCCTGTGCCTTCTGAGCACAATCTGATCTGCCTTCTAAGAAGAGGAAAAACAACTGGTCCTGTTGTCAACACCTGCGGGGTGGGTCACTATCAATTTGGAGATGAGTTCAAGAAAAGGTCTGTCGTCTGAGAATGAAAGGGTAGGAAGAAACAGCCGAGGTAGGGTAGGCAGGAAGGTGGGTTGGGGAGTGGGAGGAGGATGCCTTTTATGACTGTAAACCATGGTCAAGGTATCATTAGGCCACGTTTTACCCTAAGGCAGTTTTTACAAACTCACAATGGCAGGTCTGCTGTATTGAAATAAGTGTTTTTAGGCCCTTCCTCATAATCTGCATTTTAAACAAAAACCCTAAATGAGTCTTACTCTCTGAGGCCTGAAGCCATGTCCCAGCCCCAGATCTACGGCTTGTTAGCTGTGTGACTGGGAACAAGGCCCTTCACTGTGATCTTCAGTGAGGTTCTTGGATGTTTATGATGGAGGTTTTATAGTCATTGACTTCCTTGGTTCTCCCAACAACCTGGTAACTTGCTTAAAGGTAACATCGACCAGGTGCTAGAATCGGGAATCTGGCCCACTCTCAGTGCCTCAGTTTCTCCCTCTGTGATGTGAGGACAACACCCACCACAGGACTGCTAAATTTTAAATTGTGTATTTCAATTTAAGATGACATGATTGTATGTCATTGTCTGCCTTAAACAAAAGCCCTAAAATTTGGACAAGGACAGTAAGTCATGAAAAATCTAGATAAAAATACATCTTAAGAAAAACAAACAGTCACATTTTAGGCATATCAGGTTTGATGATTTCCAGTCCTATGGCCCATTTATCAAATATTGAGTTACTTCCTTGTAAACTTGGGTGCTTCAAAGAACACTATCAAGAAAGCAAAAAAGAGGGGGCCAGCCCGTGGTGTAGTGGTTAAGTTTTCATGCTTTGCTTTGGTGGACTAGGGTTCAAAGGTTCAGATCCTAGGTGTGGACCTAGCAGCGCTCATCAAGCCACGCTGTGGTGGCATCCCACATACAAAATAGAGGAAGATTGGCATAGACGTTAGCTCAGTGACAATCTTCCTCAAGCAAAAAGAGGATGATTGGCTACAAATGTTAGCCCAGGGGTGCTCTTCCTCACCAAAAAAACCCCACAGAAAACAAACAAAAAGACAGCCCTCAAACGGGGAGAAAATATTTGCAAATCATTTATCTGATAAGGGACTTATATACCAAGTACATAAAGAAGTCTTACAAATTGATAATAAAAACACAAATAACCCAATTCAAAAATGGGCAAAGGACCCAAGAAAGATGTAATAAACCAGTAAGCGCATGAAAAGATGCTCAGTCAATAGTCATTAGGGAAATGCAAATCAAAACCACAATGAGATATCACTTCACACTCATGGCGTGGCTGTAATAAAAAAGACAGATAATAACAAGTATTGACAAAGTTGTGGAGAAATTGGAACCCTTGTCCATGGCAGGTGGGAATGTAAAATGGTGCAGCTGCTATGGTGGTTCCTCAAAAAATGAAACAATTACCATATGATCTAGCGATTCCACTTCTGAGTATATACCCCAAAGAACTGAAAGCAGGGTCTTGAAGAATATTTCTACACCCGTGTTCATAGCAGCATTATGCACAGTAGTCAAGAAGTGGAAGCAACCCAAGTGTCCATCAATGGATGAATAGATAAACAAAATGTGGTATATACATACAATGGAATATTATTCAGCCTTAAAAAGGAAGGAGGGGCCAGCCCGGTGACATAGTGGTTAAGTTCATGCACTCCAGTTCGGTGGCCCAGGGTTTGCAGGTTCAGATCCTGGGCGTGGACATACACACCATTCATCAAGCCATGCTGTGGCAGTGTCCCACATACAAAATAGAGGAAGATTGGCACAGATGTTAGCTCAGGGCCAATCTTCCTCACCCAAAAAAAAAAAAAGAAAGAAAGAAAGAAAGGAAGGAAGGAAATCCTCACACATGCTACAACATGGATGAACTTTGAAGACATTATGCTAAATAAAATAATACAATCGCAAAAAAACAAGTATGTGATTCTACTTATATGAGGTATCTGGAGTAGTCAAATTCATAGAGACAGAAAGCAGAATGGTGGTTGCCAGGGGCTGGGGGAGGAAGGAACAGAGAGTTATTGTTTAGTGGGTAGAGAGTTTCAGTTTGTAAAGATGAAAAAGTTCTGGAGATGAATGGTGGTCATGGTTTCACAGCAATGTGATTGTACATAATGCCATTGAATTGTACACTTAAAAATTGTTAAAATGGTAAATTTTATATTACGTATATTTTACCACAATAAAAAAATCCACATTGCACAAACAGTACACACAGTATGGTCCCATTTACAAATATATATGCATAGACTAAAATCCAGAACAAAAGATATCTAAATGGTGGCTATTCCTGTGTAGTGGGATTATGGGTGATTTTTATTTTCTTTATGTCTATACTTATCATTTTTCTGCTGTAAAATTTTCATTACTTTTATAATAAAAGCAGCTATTTTTTTAAAAAGTATATCCATATAATGGACGATTATTCAGCCATAAAAAGAAGTGAAGTATTAATCCATACTACAGCATAGATGAAGCTTGAAAACATTATGCTGAGTGAAAGAAGCCATCACAAAAGACCACATATTGTATGATTCCATTTATAGGAAGCGTCCAGAATAGGCATATCCATAGAGACAGAAGGTAGATTAGTGGTTGCCTAGGGCGGTGGTGGAGGGGCAGGAATTGGGAGTAACTGCAAAAGGGTACAAGGTTTCTTTGTGGACTCACGAAAATGTTCTGAAATTGATCGTAGTGATGGCTGCACAAGTCTGTTTGTATACTAAAAACCACTGAGTTGTACATTTTAGGTGGGTGAATTGTATGATGTACGAATTATATCTCAAGAAAACTGTTACACGGAAAACCTTATTTTCAGACTTTTTGGTTTTTTTCTCAATCTAAAATCTTTGGCAGTCACTTTTAACAGAATCTTTTTCTAAGCCACAAATGAAGATGCAAAGTCGAAGCCCTCTGCTGGGCAATTTGAAATGATAGCTACAAACAAAAGAAAATAGCACACTGCTTTCCTTTCCACTCTGTCTTTTCTGCCACACGTTCTACTTACTATTCTGCAAACTATGCTGGAAAGAGGAGCTACTTTTCCTGTTGTACCCGAGTGGCTACAAGAAGATGCAAATTGAATTCCTGACAGACCCTGTTTCTTTAGAATGACCCCTAGGAGGGTCATCAAGCACCTGTTTCTCCTGAGACTCGGTAAGAGTATCATTTGGTTAAAAAAAAAACAAAACCAAAAAAAAAAAACAGAGGGGATCATTAAACCTATTTCCTAGGGCTGTAGGGAGAATTAAATGAGATCGCTTATGTAAAACACCTGGCCCACATCCCAGCCCACAAACACCAGCTCTCTGCCACTCTTTCCTATATCTTCTTTCCCTAAATTGTACCCAGAAGGAGCTAAATGTTTTAGTTGTATTTCTGAGACACGACTTCTAAAGACATGAGGCTCAGCAAAATTTACTGGTGCACCCCAGGGTATTTATGGAGCTCTTTGTTTTTCAGTCTGCAAAATGGAGCAAAATTTAAGGAAGAAGAAGATTTCTTTGAAGAAGCAATGACAAGCTCTTTCCCCAGGCATCTTGCGTAACCAACTATGGTAAAATTATGGTAGATTATCTTATGGGAGGGAAAGTAGAAAGACGTATTCCCCCACGCACACTCAATCCTTGTCCAGAATTTCCTAAATGAATTGGGGCACATCAACCAGGGAGCTCAAAAGACCAGGCCACCCAAGGAGGAGCGCCTTGTCA